GTGGTGTCTCCCACCCTGCACTCCGTACGCCTGTTCTTGCACTATGTAACTTTTGACTCCAGGTCCGGACAAGGGCGTAATGCTTTATGGCAGTAGTGACACACCACTGACGCTAATTTTGATTAAATTAGATCAGGCTCCGGCTACTCTACCTCATTTAGAGAGTTTCCTGATGGACAGTAAAGTAACTGCTGCAAAATGTAGCTGCTGGTAGATAATTAGTTTAGCCATACTGGCCTGGAGACACAGGCTGGGTGCTCAGAGCGCTGGGGGAGTGTTGGTGGAGCACAGGGGCTGTGGACCGCCAGGAGGTGGACGTTTTCAGGCCTGGGGTGGGAGGGAATGCCAACAGAGAGCAGGGCCGGCATCGTGCCAGAATCGGAACCGGACGAGCTGGCAATGTGACCGGGCTCAGCAGCTCTGTCTATGGACATACCTAATGGCAGAGGATAAGAGACTGAAGAGGATGACAGGGGAAGCTGCATAGAGAAAAGCAGAGAGAAGACGTCGGACAAGAGTAAATGTACGTGCGGCTTTTTACTCCTTAGTGAGAGCTTTGTGAAACAAACGGCAAGCTGGCCTTCTTGTTGCTGGACTTTAGAATATTAGCTGGCTTGCTATGTATTTTGTTGTTGCACTTGCTTGATGTTTGGCTGTGTTAGCAAAGTGGTAGACTTGCTCATTTTTGATCATAAGTAATGTAATCATAACAAATGCGTGTGTACAGCTGTCCATATTTACAACAGTGGTACTGCAGATCTCGGATTAGCCGGTTGTTTTGCAGCTGGTACCAGCCAGCAGCTATCAGTTAGCACAACACCAGACCAGAAACTGTAGATGTGGAACCTGGCTACATAAATAGGTACACCAAGAGTCTTTTTTTTTTTTTTTTTTTTTACATTTGCATGTCTGCCTTTCCATTTTTTGTTTCTCTTCAAACAACAACCACACACACATACCCTATATGTGCACACACGCACGTACTCAGATAAGCATCTCCTTCTCCAATGCAGGCAAAATGAGAAAACTGCATAGAAGCCAGTAATTCTGTATTCTGAATGCATCTCATTCATTCCCCACGGATTTGATTTATTTGCTCAGAGAGGCTCCCTAATCCAAGAAAAAGAAACACAGAGGGTTATCTCCAGATAACCTCCAACACCTGAATAGTCTCCCACAATAGATTTCTGCCTCAGTAAGATGAGCCGGCAGAGACCTGAGCACCTGACTGGAAGACAGCATCCGACTTGGGAACGATTAGAGCGAACCTACGGGTTGCATATTTTGCTGGCGTGAGCAGTGTTTATTTTGATTCTTTCAGACGGGATAAGTTTCCGACGTGTTTGCTCGCCTGGGTAGTTGCGCCTCTCGCTGTCCTCCACATGAAACTCTATTATCTGCTACATTTGCTCCCCTAACAGAGGGATAAAATCTCATCTGCCTCAGTCAGAGGCAAGAAACAACGTTGCAACTCTGAGAGCGTGTGTGTGTGTGTGTGTGTGTGTTTGTGTGTGTGTGCACAGTGGGGAAGAGCCAAAATAAACTCACAGCTTTGGGCACTAGTTAGAATTCTTGTGGTGTGTGTGTTGATGCAGTCAGTGATTTACAGTGGACACTTAATGATTCAGGTATAGTTCAACTTTGACTTGAGATTCCTGCGGTTGAGGCAGAGACTCTTACACATTTAAGACAGTTAATTGAATACTTGTAATTTAATGATGGCCTCTCAGGGGATATTGGTGCTACAGGTGTTGCTGCCACAACATGAACCCCCTCATGTGATCTTTCTCCACACTGACGCCCTCAGCATCTGTCTGCATCCTTCCTGCAGCAGTTAACCTTTTGAAACCTGCGTGTGCTCAAGTGTCTAAGCACGTATTTGTGTGTGTGTGCGAGTAATGCATTACACAAATGCCCTGAAAAACACAAAACAGTCACCTTTCTAACCTAAAAAAAACAACTTGAGTCACCTCTGAAGGGATCCGTTTGTGTCACTGCACAATTTAAACACAGGCTTCTTTGTGGAAATGGAACACTTAGAATTGCTCTTTTGTGGTTGACACATGCTGGGTTCTATTATAAATGATGCTAAAAATGGAAGCTATTATCCAGAAATAGCTGAAAAAAGTGAAAGATGTTTGAACTGTACAGAACTGCAGTGAACAGCTCAGTGTTAAAGCTTTAACTCTTTGATTGCACCTGCTTTTATATTTGTCATCCAGTTTACAGGCACATTTTCTTTTAATTTGCTTCTTAAACAGCAATCTTTTTTTTTTCTTAAACAACCGTAAGAAGATTCTCAGAGGAGAGAGATATATTCCTTTTTGTGTTTCTACTACATAAGATCACAGGTGACCTTTTCAAAACAAGTTAATGCTGGAATGGCCTGTTGGCCTATTGATATCCTTTATTGCTCGGCCTCTAAGCTCTTGGCTCTCCTGCAGTGCCTCCCACTTGTCACAGGGATATAAAGTCCAGAATATTTGTGCAGTTTGCAGTGACTTAGGGTTTTGTTGCCTCTTTCTGCATGACTCACTTGCCATAAAGCACGGCGGGATGGTATTTCAGCCTCTAAACTGTCCCCACACTCTCTGCAATTTAGCAGAGGATTTGTGGCAGCTTGACTCGACTGCATCGGCTGTGTCCTGGTGTCAAAGTGCGAAAGCTGTCAGACAGGACTATGAGTCAGGGATGGCGTCATGAAGGCACTGCAGTGGTCCTCAGCCATGTGAATATGTGTGTTGAGGAGCCAGCGTAATGGGCCATTTTATGGACAAAATAGCAGTGATGCTATCAGGTGATTATGGAGGTTGAATGATATGAATCATTATGGGAATGGGAAGACCTTTTGTACCATGGATATGTTGTAATGTATGTGCACTGCTAAAACCATCCATTCCATTGAGAATTTTAAATATAAGACAGAAGTCCATATACTGCTTTAAACTCATATTGAACAAAATATATCAGAGAATCATTGCATGCATGTGGAGTTTAATAGCATCGAGCAGCAGCTAACACCCCATTAACCTTAAGTTAGACAAGAAAGCAACTCCAAGAGATGTTTTCCTTTTAACAAAGGCTGTTATCTTAGAAAAATACAGCTGTTTTTTTTACAGTTAAAAAAAGACAGTTTATGTTTGCATGTAGGTACCATGAAGAAGTCCACCAGGGCTCCAGACTAAGTTTTTGCATTGGTTGCACTGGTGCACCTAACTTTTTTTTTTTTAGGTGCACCAGCACACAATTTAGGTGCACCCATAATTTTTCATTGCGTCGCCTTTAACGCCATATTCTCACCTTTTTATCGCTCTCCATAACTTTCATATAATGTGAATGATTTTTAAACAAGAATAAGGTGTAGAGAAATGCTTGTCTTTATTTGAAGCACAATTATATATAAAAAGAAAAATAGTGTTTAAAGTTCTTCACTGAGCTGAAATTGAAAATTTCTAACTAAAACACTAAGCAAAATAAAACATTTCTTAAATTGCTTCACTGAACTGAAATTGAACTAATATAAAATGTGCTACTTTACTTTTTAGACGTGTTATGTTTTTTTAAAGTTTCGATAGGAAACGTTGACCTGCTCACGAATGCACTATTTCTGGCCATATTCTGACCGCACTCCTGACAGTACACGCAGTGCATTGCGTTACGTCCTTTGTTGTACCTCAGCCAGGGAAATTGTTTCAGCCAGTCCTGTCTGAAGGAATATATTTTGGGCTTTTTAATTTGGTTCTCGGAGCCGGGCTCTATCCCAGACTCGGTTGTCTCCTCCTCTGGTTCCGAGTCTGATGCTGTCGCCGAAGGACCGGGGCTTGGTATCTCACCAGGGACCGAGGCCTCCGTGTCTTAACGGGATGGACTCTCAGTAGTGGGGATGGATGGGATTATAGTAGTAGGGCTGGTTGTAGGTTTGGTTTTCTTAATGAAAAAACGTTTAATGTTTCTGCCTCTCCTCATTTTCCCTCGTTTTGTCGCGTTTATTTGATTTTTCCATTTCAGTTAGTCAGCTACTCTCGCGCTCAGGTCGCAGGCAATTTTTAAACACACGCAACTTAGCGTGGTGAACAGGACCTCAGCCAATCAGAGGCAAAGGCCTGCCCGAGCTCTGTCTCGTATTGGTTTAGAACACGGTATAATCCTACCATGAGTGTGTGAGTTCGGTCACAGTAGAACACAGAGAGATGATGCGCTTGCGAAATAAATGTATGTTTTCACCCGGGCATTGTCAGGTGCACCAGTGCGACCTAGAAAAATTATGAGTCGCACTCTTAAAAATTTTGGTCGCACTCTGGAGCCCTGTCCACCATTTAGTATTTGACGTAGCATCTATTAATGTCTCAGCATCTTTATGTTGTGCTTTTTTTATGATTATACAAACTGCATCATCTGCATGCATTTGTGTCTGTTCTTCAGGAAAAGCTAAAAGTGGGTTTTCTATAGACACTAAACAGTAAAGGGCTTAATATTGAACCCTGGCGCACACCAATGCTGTACTAATATTGAGTCAGATAAGCAATCCCCAAGGTGGACCCCTTTGTGTTTACTTGAAGAAGATTTTAGCCAGGAAAGTGTTTAATTTGAGATGTCTGAAGTACAATGACATTAAAATTAATGTTTGACAAAATCAAAGGCCTTTATCACTGTCCCAACTACACCATCCTTATTTACCTTTGACTTAATGCTTTCCAAAAAATAGCTAACCTTGCTTATTTTAAGTGAAATACATTTCACAATATGTATATAAGAATATGTTTGTAGTGTTTATACGTGAGTGAATGTTTTATACTGTATATTTTGACACACAAAGCCACACAAAGACAGTGCAGCTGTGTGGTGTCCCTGTGAAGGTAATTCCTTGTTTGCATCCATCCTCAGAGACCTGTGCTCTTGCAACAACACAGGGGCATTACTGCTGTTGTTGTTATTTGTCTAGCGCCTCCTCACCTGTTTGCTCAGCCTGTCTCTTGCTCTGTATCTGCCCCTCCCCCCAGAGAGGTGAAGCATCATGGGGAAACACAACAGCAAGCTGGCTCCAGAGGTCCTGGATGACCTGACCAAGAACACGGAATTCAACGAGGCGGAGCTCAAGCAGTGGTACAAAGGCTTCCTCAAAGATTGTCCCTCCGGCATCCTCAACCTAGACGAGTTTCAGCAGCTCTATGTTAAGGTGAGGGCGAGGTGGAGGGAAGGAGAGAGGACATGAAGCAGAGGAGGTGAAAGCATGGCAGTTGGTTATGTAGTAGGGGCTGGGCTCTCTACAAATGGGAATCACAATGTTTGCATAGCTATTTCCTGAATGGCCTGCAGTGAAAACAGGGCTCACTGTGTAGTTAGTTATATAAAATGAAACAACAAATGAACAACAGTTACTTCTTAAATTATTCAGAGCTTTGTTGGGTTGTTACATAGAGAGCCTATGTTACTATGGCTGACTAATCGTCCTATGTTTGGGGCAAAGGGAGGAGGCAGACCCTGTAATACAGCCAGGCAGCTCTGTTGCTGCCTGAAACTCTGTCAACTCATTTTGGAGCCTTTCAGATGGCACAGTGCCAGAGAGGCTGACTGATCTTTGCACAGGGGTTCAAGATATTTTTAAATCAGTTTTGCATATTCTTTCATTCTCTCCTATTCAGTTCTAAAATGCTCAGAGAACAACTGTGGCTTGTACTTCAAGTATTAATCTGTCACTGTGAATGAGAAACTAACTGTTGTCATCAAGTTGTATTATGGTATCAGGCAGTGAATGTACACAATAGGAAAATGAATGGATGGATTGAGGTTCCACCTGCATTAGGAGTACAGTTTCATTTTGTAAACAAGTCTCCAATAGCTGCACTTCATCTCTAAAATGTATTTAACCAACTACTACCATTTCCTGTTTATGTTAGGGTGGGCTCCTGCCTGCTTAAACCCAGTTTAGCCATTCATAAGACAGACTTGTTATTAACAGTAAAATGAAATATGAATTGCCATATGTTAAAGAAGCTATCACAATCTGGTAAGCTAATGTCAACTGAGCTAACACTGTAATACTCCTGCTCCGATTCTGCTTTCCTGCCATTAAAACCCTCCCACATCAAACAAAGTCCTGCTCTCTCACTTCATTCTTAAATCAAACTCATAGTAACAGTGACACAAAATTAGGCCAATTAGGAAAACACATCTATCACATACCATCTTTTAAGATTGCATAAACCTTTTAAAAAAAACATCATAAAAACTACAATTTGAATTTTTTATTCCCCAAGTGACTCACAAGAGACAAATTAGAAAAAGAATAGTCAAAAAGATGCAGTAGAGGTCGACATATATCCTGACTTTTAGGGCCCAATATGGGTCCAACTTAAGACTGGATCCTACATTTCCCATAATTCAACTCAATAGGGTCTTTCAGTGAGTGAGCAACAATGCATCTCATGCATCGTTTACATCACCTTGTTTCTCAAATTTTTCACCTTTCAGTTTTTCCCATATGGTGACGCCTCCAAGTTCGCCCAGCATGCGTTTCGGACATTTGACAAGAACGGCGACGGGACCATCGACTTCAGGGAGTTCATCTGCGCCCTGTCCATCACCTCCAGGGGCAGCTTCGAGCAGAAACTCAACTGGGCCTTCAATATGTACGACCTGGACGGAGATGGAAAGATCACACGCATGGAGATGCTGGAGATCATCGAGGTGTGCGTTTGTGAGGAGGAAGTGGGCGGGAGTTAGTTTAGTTTGTAGGCTTTCACCGGTTCTTGTCCCTATAAAAGAAATCCTCAAAATCTAAACATGTATTTTCCTTTCCCACTCTGCAGGCCATCTACAAGATGGTGGGCACGGTGATCATGATGCGTATGAACGAGGACGGGCTGACCCCGCAGCAGCGCGTGGACAAGATCTTCTCCAAGATGGACAAGGACCACAATGATGAGATCACCCTGGAAGAGTTCAAAGAGGCGGCCAAGTCCGACCCCTCCATCGTCCTACTGCTGCAGTGTGACATGCAGAAGTAGAGAGAGAGGGATGGGTGGAGAAACAGAGGGAGGGAGGGGAGGGATGGGGGAAGAGTTGAACTGAAACAAGAGAAGGAAGGAGGATGGGAGAACAGATGGGCTGGGGAGGAGAGGGAGGGATGCAGTTTGGGGAGGAGAAGGAAATAGGGAAGCTTTTCTCCCTTTTTTTTTTTTTTGAGGCAGTGATGACGGGGAATGAGCTATGTTTGGAACACAGTGGAATCTCTGATTGATGCCATTCTTTTCTTTCAGACCGTCCCGCTGTGCAGTACACTCCTGCAGCACTCTTGCTTCAGTCTAGCTGGGTGTCTTTACAAATCCAATCTGATGATGTGTGAATTCCTGCAGCTCATTTGGCACAGACCTGAGAAATATGGGATTTACAAAAGGAGATATGTATAAGTGACACAGCCAGGCTCTGTGCCTAGCGTGTGAGATTACAAGACTGCAGGGTGACTTAACTACAAAGGTCTGCTGTCTTTATGTAACACTTGCACATTGTATAATTGCAAAGCAGGTTGCTTCCAACTGATGTAAGTTAACACAGATTTCAGTGGCCATGAAGAAAATATATTATAGTCCCCAATGACACTTCAAAGGAATAGTTTTGGGAGATATGTGTATGTGCTTTCTTTCTGAGAGGTATAGAAAAAGATTGATACTCTGATAAATATGAAACACTAGCACTCATATTTTGAGACAAAACACCGTAAAAAGTTAAAGATACATTTGACTTAAAGCAATATTTATTTACTTTTTCAAATTGTCTATAGTGATTGCAAAAATATCGTGAATTCTTGGTGATCTGATATTGTGACAGCCCTCGCTGGTTGCCTGGCAAACTCATGGTTCAAGACTTGAGGAGGTCACTGCTCCCAACCAAGAAATAGTCTGGCTCATAACCTCTGATATAACTGCAACTTGTCATATTTTTACCTTTGGGCGGAGCTAACTGTTTCAACCTGTTTTCAGTCTTTATGCTAAGCTAAGCTAATGGTTCTCCTGGCTCCAGCTTCATATTCACTGTACAGATATGAGAGTGATATTGATATTCTCATCTAACTCTTGTCAAGGTTTTATATTACTTTAGAGTAAATTCTGTCACCCAGGATGCTCATTTCAAAACAAACCCACAGTGTTTAGTAGCGGTGCATCATGGGATAGTTTGAAAAAAAGGATGGCATCAAACCAACAAAGGGCCTGTTGAAATGAACAATACCATGACCTGTGTGTTAGTTTGTGTTATGGTGTCCATATGTGTGTGTGAGTATGAATGTGAGAATGTGTGTGTGTGTGTGTGTGTGTGGACATTCTACAAACTAAATACACTTCATGAACCCAGATCAAATGTCCCCCACCCCTTGCGTGTGTGTGCAGTTGCATTCATTAGTTCCCCAACAGCCGCAACCACAACCAGTTAAAGCACTTAAAGAAGAATTTCCGATAGATTACAGCACGCTGTCCGCACGCGTCTCGCTCTGAGAGCGAGGCAGGCAGTGATGAATGTCTCAGACGGCTGCCTCCAGCAGCATGGTGAAGCATGCTGATGTGCTGCTTAGTGACTTCTGGCTGCCCCGAGAGCTTTTCCACACATGCTGACAAAATCAATGTCTCATCAAAATAATTACATGTGTTTTATTAAAAGGACATGCAATTAAGTTACATAGGCATGGCAAGGAATAATGTAATGTGGGCTTTCTCTAGCAAGTGGACATGTTCTCTGCGTGGCTCTCTTTGTGATTACTTTAGGTTTATTTGAATGCCAGCTTCAGTTTCAGTGGGAGGGGCTACAGGAAGTGTTAAAATTGACATTAATAATAGTATATAATAAGAATAATAATAATAATTATTATTATTAGGAGAAGAAGAAGAAGAATGGCAAGAAATCACTTCATCAGCCTTACATAATTAAGGCCACCCTTTGTAGAATTTATGTTTATAGTCCAAATTCGTTTTTGTCTTTTTTTGTGTGGAGACAAGTTGATCCTTTTTAAATACTACACATTGTGGTTTTAAAGCCCATTTAATGGCAGATTTTGTGCTTTCATTAGATAGCGACAGGTGAAGAGGCCGACAGGAAACTTATGCCAGGGAGACAAGCAACAAGGGAATCGAACCAGTGATCGCTGCGACCATGTGGCCCACGCTGTTACCACTCAGATACCAAAATTATTAGTTTAACATTAACATTCAAAATCCTAGCTAATGAGCTTCATCGGGACTGCGAGTTTGTACTGCCATACAAATGTTGCTCATCTGTGATTGGTGGACAGAAATTAATGACATCGGCATTTTCCTCCAGAGACCCGCCCCTTTTTAAAGCACTGAGAAGAGCACAGTGAAAACAGCATGGACAGAAAACTAAAATTAAATAACCAAATCCTTTTTAACTTTGACAAAAAATATTTAAAGCATGAAGCTGACTAACAGTAAAATGTGTTGATTGACTTCAGCGTATAAGAGACCTATCTAATTAATGATTATTTTAAAACAATGCAATAACTCATTCTTATGAGTTATTGCATTGTGTCATTATTCGCAATTATTGGAGTAAGTTCATTAGTTGTAACAGAGCTAATTAACAAGCTAATTTATTAAGAAATTGCTGTTTCTATTCCTGGTATTATTTAATTTGGCTGAATTTTGAAAGAGACTTTAACTAAGTCACAACGTGGCTAAATTATTATGTATAAAACATCTGCTTTGTGTTCTCTATTGTAAAGTAAAACAATTAGTTTGGGCAACATTGGACTAACTTAACAGTGTGACACAGTATATGTGATTAAACAGAAGCAGAAACAGGGAAATATGCAGAATAATATGAAACATGATCTCGCTTCACTAAAAAAGACCCACAATTTGAGCCAGAGAACGAGCCGGGAGAACAGCGCGGAGCGGGGATAATCAGGGCAGTAATTACAGGCCGTATGACACAAACGGTATTTCTCTGAAAGGCCAAACCTGCCTCCATGATTCATTGTTGTTTCACATGAAAAGCTGAAATAGCCATCTCTCCTCTTCCTCTCCCACTGTCCCGCTCTCCCACCCTTTTGTCTTCTTCCTCCCTAAATGTCAGAGAGGAAGCGCTTTGATAATAGGTGGAGGGAGAGGAACTTTGCTGAACTCAGCTCAGATCTAAAATCAATTCGAAAACGAGTAAAAGGTTGAAGAGGAAGCCTGGGTGGGGTGCGCGTGTACTCATCTGCTTGTGAATGTGAACGGTAGTGGATAACTGCACAGTTCACGCCAGTCAGTAATTCCCAGCTTGTAGCTTATGATCACAACATCGATGTATTCCATTGGATCAGCGGGCGGACTTGAGCTGGAGGTATTTGCTACATGTCTACAAGCAGGCAGAGGCATTTATGCTCAGCACGTTGTTGTTGGTGCAGTATCCACCAAACATTGCATTGTGTGGTGTAATTACTGACACTTACCTTCAAATCGAAATTGTTCATTTCAATTCAGAGTCCTTTGGCCGTCCCTGTGGTCTCTCAGGAGGGGTCGTAGGGGTGTAGAAGTAAACCTGCTCGGTCAGTCGGCGTCCATGCGCCTGTGACACTGTGGCACTTCAGTCTCTGTAACCAGGAGGCATTCTGAGAATTCTGATTTAATACTTCTTCTACTAAAAGTATAAGAGTATGACGTCCCGTAGTGATTCAGTAAGGGACAGTGCATTTTATTTTTCAATACTGGACCATCCTGTTAATTATGGATAGTTAGATGATACCACTGTCGCATCTGTCCATTAAATATGAAGTTACAGCCAGTTAGTTTAACACACAGATTAAAATCAGGCAGGCAGATTTAGAAAGCTAAGCTAACTGCGCCCTGGCTATAGATATCTATAGGCATATTTGGCATACAACCTTGAGAGAGTTATCAATCTTCATAACCTAACTCTCAGCATATTTACCAAAATGTCTATTATTATGTCTTTTAGTCATAGTGACGAACCCCCTTAACAGTCCTGCATTAGGAACTCGGACTCATTGAGGCAGATCATTGCATTTTTCCTTGTGAACAATTCAAAAATGTCAGACTTTCTGACGTCTCTGCATTGCAGCAAAAACATTTGACTTCTCTCCTATCAGCAAATCAGATTCATCTCCTCCTTCTCACCCAGCCAATGAGCTCGCTCCCTCCCTACAGCCGAAGAACGAGCCTCCATTGTGTGATAATGTAATGATAAACCTACATGTACATTATGATACGACTGTAATCGTATTTATGAATATAAACTAATATAATATGTAAATGTACCACTAGCTTAGACCTAATTTCATATGATGACACAGCTACTGTCTGTGTGAATGTGTGTGTGTGTGTGTGTGTGTGTGTGTGTGTGTGTGTGTGTGTGTGAGAGAGTGACAGAGTGAGCCTGAGTACTAACTGTGAGTGCTTGTGAAAGCTGTGTGTGTGCTGTATGTCGGGACACTTTTGCAAGTGTTCACATGTGTTTTGTATTTGTATCATTTGTGTAACAAAAAGATGCCTCAGTCTAGTTAAACTTTGTAAAAAATGGAGTGTAAGTCCTCACACTGAAGCACTGAGTATTATTACCCAAACCTACACTTGCTTTTGTGGTCCGCTGGTATACGGTATGTACTGTCTCCAATATGGGACGTGTCGTTTCGTTTGCTGTAGCCTACTGTTGCAGTTCTACAAATAATACCCACATATAGACGTTATGTTTCACCAAATGGCTTTGAGGGGTCAGTAGCCAGCAGGGTGGGCGGAGGGGGGGCTTTCTGAAATGGAGGTTGTTGAGAAGTTGTTGCCAGAAGCAGCCTGAGGTGTGAGGAGAGAGGTGTCCGTGATAAATAAAAAAAAAAACCCCAACCCTGTCCTGTGTCACAGTGTCACCCAGTGGATGGAGGTATAATGTCACACCTCACAACAACTCAACTACTGTACAGCTCCCCTTTGTTTATTATGTAATGAACATGCCTCGAGATCATCAAGTTAGATGATGCAAACAACTTGATTAGTCATTGTTCAGTCTTACAGTCTTGTGTTTCTGAAAAGAAGTGCAGCAATCTGAACGTGGAGTGAGATCATTTTACTTTTTTCCAAGGTAAATTTGATTATGTTCATTTAAACAGAGACCAACATAAGTAAAACAAACTGATGAAGAGGCTGAGCCTTTCTTATGATCTTATTTATCTTATTTCTTATGAAATGGGGGTGTCTTAAGAAAAGATGCATGGAAGTAAAAAATAACTTACATTTGTGGCCGGGATCAGAAAGATGAGTGCAAATGAATGCTCTGCTTGATGTGTAAATAGACAGTTCTCTGCTACTGTAACACAATCACCATAACAGCTTTATAAGACAATGACAATGTTTGTTTTTAACAAACCCCAAGTGGCAAAAAAAAAAAAAAAAAAACTAACGCAGCTTTAAAGCCCCCTATATAGTATGTTGGATTTGAACATTTCTTACTTTAGCTACTTCTAGAATCACAAATGACAGCAAGACACAAATTTCTACTGGGATGTCAGACAGCATTGTTATATTTGAGGCAGATAATCCCTGAAAAAAATCAGGTCCCTCTGGCTCCTCCTACTGCTCCTAATGGCATTTGCAAGAATCCACAGCAAAAACAACCAATCAGAGCTAAAAAAAGATATTAGGTATTTGACAACTCAAAAATCTAAAATACGACAAAACTTTATTTTTCTAAAAGTTAGCTACTGCAGCTTTAATGCAATTGTCTTTTTTTCCAAGTCACTCTACTAGCAGATTTGTTTGCACGTATTTTAAGAAAAACAAAGATGTGAGATTAAGGTCGACAGTAGCAGAATGAAGGTCTTGCAAATTGTTTGCAGTGTGCAAATGGTCGCCCATACAGCCCCATGTGTTTTGCCGCCTCTTGTTTTGACTCACTATATCATTGTCGCAGACTCGGTTAATCATCCTGTTCTACGCTGAGCGCTATGCGGTAAAAACAGTTGATTAGAACAGATTGGCTCACAAAGTGGCTTCACAATGTGTTGATCTCCGCACGCCTCCACTTATTAGATTCTGTCCATCCTAATTAGCGCTGGTTCAGAGCAAGAGAGAGAGAGCCACTTACCTCCCCCGAGATTGTAGACACAATAAATGTTTTGTTTTTGGTTTTGTTGTTTGCTTTCTCACCTTTTCATGCAGTGTCCAATTCAAAACTACACAGACAAAAAAATCAGCATTCACTCTGTAGATTTTATGTGCCAAAGATGGGACTGTGTCACGTGAGTAAACTGAAACATGACTGCTGTGTCGGGTGGAGTTAAACATGAAGTGATGCTGTGTTGATCACATGTGCTGCAGTTCATCAGCTGTCAGTCTCTGGACAGACGCGCTGACCTGAGCTGTGTGACATGAATATCAACACGGATACTTTTATTTTAACCGGGGATCATTTGTGCTTGATTGTGCAATATAATTCTATTCTTCAACATTTCTCTATGATGTTCATGTAAACGTCTCTTTGTCCCGTCTGATGATTTTGCCTTTGTTTTTGTTTTGTTTCTCAATATTGTTAGGCTCCTAGAACAAAGACAATGTAATTATTTTTGTTACATAGAATAAAACACATGGATGTCGGGAGTTGTTGTCGTCTTGCCTTGGTCCATGTGTTCCCTCCGAGAGCATCCTCACACACACACACACACACACACACACACACACACACACACACAGTGAGCCGAGAGTATGAGTCACCGTCTACCAATGATGTCACACTGCTGCAGTGATGTCACCAGTCATGCTGTTCTCATGGTAACCATGCTTAGGCCACAAGGCAGGGAGTACCTAAACACACACACACACACACACATATATTACGACACATATTTATAGATACGCGCAGACTCGTAATTCACGGAGAAATGTTTGATGACTGCGGAAATTAATTTGGCTTGTGGTATCTCATTTACTCAGCTGGACAGCAATGGAGAAATTATAGAGCACAATTAAATCACTCATGAAGATTGAGCTTTGACTTTATGCACCAGTGTGGACACGCACTTCCCACGAGAGACGGAAACACTAACAGGGACTTTTTGTGCTGAAAGGGAAGTCAATTTCCTGTCTTTCAAATGTTTTGTTTTGCTTTGTTAAAGGACAATAGCACTTCATTTAAACATTTGAATTCATGTGGTTTTCTTTCCTGGTGTGACAAAAGATCGTTCTAATAGGAGACCCCAGAAACACTGAATACTCACCACACTGCCATATGATAAAAAAAAAATAATCTGGTTATGAAAGATAAAGCTTACGTTAATTAATCCACAATCACAATTTTGGGTCTCAGCTTTCTGGTTTCAGTCCATTCCTCTGTTCGAACTGCTGGCTAAACCCTCGTTTTCCATTGCCCCTCCTCCAGCTATCCATCACGGATCAATATAAATCTATTCTGAGCCTCGCTGTGTTAGGCTTCAGCTCAGTGGAAAACCAAACATCACAAGTGCGCACGCACGGGCCGGGCAGCAGTGAAACAGTGAATCACACTGCAGCAATAGAGGTCAAGCCGAAGAGGTGCAGTTTGCAGAGCGGCCACAGGATGGGGCCGTAAGCTCAGACACTCTCAACTCTAATATCCTAATGTCAGTGACATGCATGCGAAGGTCAGCTGTTTAGTTCCCTTATGAGATTCTTGTGTCCATATAAAACAAAGCAACAGAGAAAGAGCAAAGGGAAGACATACACGGAAATATCTAAAATGATTTGGTGTAAAGAGGGTGACACACATTGGCTTTTATCTACAGAAGAACACACTAAGTCACCACCACACTGACCCATGAGGAAGCGGATGGACGTGGCTGCTAAGCAACCTTCCCTCACTCTGTGAATGTCCAGCTGACGAACCCTGTGTGGAAGAGTGAAGAGCAATGGACAGAAGAAGACTCCACCTCCCACTACTACAACTGCTACCATTACCACCAGTGGTTATACTAGTACTACTGATACTACTGATACTACTGATACTGCTACCCTCGTCCAACCACTTCTACTCAACTCCTTACTCCTCCTTAGTCTTGTTGTTATCAGCTATTATTTCATATCACAGAAGTTCATCATCAGAGGTCATTGTCACTGGCCCAGATATATCTAGAGAGGCATTCAACATTAAAGGGGCACAGAGTACCCGTCATGAGAAGCACTACTCAACTTGTGAAGAAATGTTCTATAATATCTTGTGTGGCCCTGAAGAAGCTTTATCAAAGATCCTCTCCAGACATGTATTACAACATATACATAATAGTCTGCTTGGAACAGTAATTTGAGTTGGATAGGTTTAATTAAAATCCTTAAAAAGGCACCTGCTCCTTTCACCTCATTACACTGTAGAAGTTGCATACCTGTACTATAGGGAACTTGATATCTTGGCATCTCCTGTTTCAGTTTTGATTCATTTCATTCATTCATTTTTAAATGTGTCTCTTGCAATCCTCCCACCTTTGTGGAAGGCAATACTAAATCGCTGCTCCTTAAACTCCTTTAAATTGTGCTACAGAAAGAAAGAAATGAATCTACAAAGCTTTTCAAAAGTAGTTCCAATAGCACTGAATAATGCTCATTATGTATGTATGTATGTAGATTATATAATTTTGACTTCTGCTGCTACATGTAGTACTACTACTACTACTAATACAAATATGTAAATATAATCAAATACCAAAGGACAAATGCAAATTATAATTAAAACACAAATAAAACCTTCTTCTTGTCTTCTACAGTGTAGGAAAGTCTATTGTTAGTATTCAGAGTCTTCAGCCTTCAGTATAAACAAATCAGATTTAACTTCCATTACCTTAGTAATTTTAGCAACTATTTGATTTTACTGAACTTTTTTCAACTTAATCAAAGGTGACTATTATTGGTCCTGATATCTCTGACCTCAATCACATACTCAGACCATGTGCTCAAATATTAAAGGACCAGTGTGTAGGATTTAGTAGCATCTAGGGGTGTAGTTGATTGCAACCAACTCACCTCACTTTTCCCTTCCTAAAGTGTAGGAGAAACTAAAGTGGCCATAAACACAAAAGGCCCTATTTAGAGCCGGTGTTGGGTTGAACTGTTCTGGGCTACTGTAGAAACATGGCATACTCCTTAAAAGGGAACCTGATCCCTCTGTAGATCAAAACTGATAACGAAAACACAACTCTTATTTTCAGGTGAATATAACACTAATGAAAAGAAATATTATGAAATATTATGAATATAATATTAGATCCTCCTAAACGTTACACACTGGACCTTAAATTGTGCATAGAATGAATTCTGTACTAAGGCACAAAACCGGTACATTTTCCGTGAGACAGCGACTGTGTAGATGGTGTAATTTCTACCTCGCATGAAACGGGAGACACACAGGCGATACAAAGTAGAAGCAGGTTCATTTTGGATAAATATTGTGAAGAAATCCAATGAAAAATTAGCTGGTATTAGGACTAATGCTCCGTCTGGTTGTAGAAGAAGAAGGTGACGCAGTAAATGTTGCAATCGTTATTTCCGGTAAGTGCACAACAGCTGTGTTCGATTTGAGACACCACACTGCTGAAATTACCGCACTGCGCAAGTAAGTACGTAGTGTGCACAGTGTACCACGTAGAAGTGTACAAACGGAAGTATTCGATTTGAGACACAGCACATGTTAACTGTCTTTTTGTGTTAGTATGCTAACATCTGCTTATTAACACTAAACACAAAGTGCAGATGAGCTGATGGAATTTAATAAGTTTTGCAATTAGTTTTTATTATTTTTTACCTGCTGATTGGAGCTTAAAGCTTCCTTGTACATTTCTATCTTAAATATTTAACTATGTATTTAGTGATATATTTGACTTGTCTGTTTGTCAGTTTCTGGGCTCCATAGACAAATATTCAAATTCCTTGTTTTATCTGACTAACAGTCTAAAACCCCCAAAACAATAAATGTGGTTACAGCCCATCAAATGCACAACTAACTGTTCACCATAAATGAACCACGTCCAACACAGATGTGTTTATCTGGTTTCACAGAAGCTCCAGCAGTGTTTATAGTCAGAGTTAAAGCTATGGCAATAGTTCAAAATGTGCTGCAAATATGAGTGAAATTTAGAAATGAATTATTAACTGCACTGGCCATAAAGTGAAACCAATATCCGGGAGTACAGTGTCAACCGGTCGCACTGGTTTGGACAAACATATTGCAGATATCATCAGGGATTTCAACTAACCATGGCGGGACGAAAGCATTCATTTCCTTGTGATTAAAAGATACATTAATTTGTAAAGCCACCTCTGCCAGAAACATGGCAACAAACCACAAAGGCTGTTGTAAATCGTGGCACGGTGCATGAGGAAGGACACTAATGGCCCTGTGCTTAACTCGGTGTACAACCTTGATTTTAAATGAAGGTTACATCCATTATCTGCTACCTTTAGGCTAATTTAACTACAATTCCCTGGTCAACCCCTCCCTTACTCACTCTCTTTCTCTCAGCCAACTATCTTGCTCAAATGACACTTATTTTTACTTCCCTATGCCTGTCACTTAGTATGCTTTTGTTACATTCCAGCAATTATGGATGACTAAAAACTTCAAATGTGTATAGTATAGAGCTACCATGTTAGAGAGAGTAAAATCAATGACAATAGGGATTTACCCTTGAAAAATCATGCGAAGTGTTAAAGTCAAATCCTGCCAATGTTTTACAAGTTTTAAAAATGTCTTTTGTTTATTAATAGGGTTAAATAATAGTCAGTCCATGTCGCTTATTAAAAAAAAAAAAAAAAACAATTTGCCACCAGATTAAATGGCTCATCATGATGGCTATTTTTTGCTGTGTACTTAGTGTGTGCCTGAACGTCCCATGAGCCTCTTGGGCAAACTGCACTGTCAACAAGAGCCAGCAGGGGGGTGGAGCCATGCTGAATAAGGAAGCAGGGCTGTGATTGGTCGGAGGGGCGACGGAAGGGCATGAACGAAGCCAGGGAAGCCGAGAGAGTGATTGAATGGGACAGAGAGGGAGGGGGGCACAGAGTGGGGAAAAGAGAGAGCCACAGAGATAGCAGCAGATGGACCGCTGCAACACAGCCTGCAACACAGCCTGCAACACACTTACAAAGGATAGACTGTATGTGTGACGGTGTGTATCCCAGAGAATGCTTGTGAATGGGTGAATGTTTTTCATGTGTTCTGGAATTGGACGCTGTGAGCAATAATCCTCTTGAGGAAAAAAAGGATACAGACAAGTGAATAGGAAACAGAAGAGTGAACACACTTCGGTTGCTTTCACAGGGCAGACGCAAGCCCCGATACCTACTGTAGTAAGCCTGTTATGTTAATGTGACAGGCTTACAGAGTATACATGCTACAGACTGTAACGGGACATTTGGTTCATTTGAGTCTGCCGAAGAACTAAACTGTGTCTTTAAAAGTAGTGAAGTGAGGGAGAGGTTGGAGGGCACCTTTGGGAGCACAGAGAGGGGGATTCTCTATGGTGAGGAGTGATGAGTCTGGACCCTGTGCAGGTGATGAGCGGACAGGTCAAGGAGCTCAAAGTTGCCCCTTCGTCCAACGGGGACAACAGAGCATCATGGGAAGAGAAAGAAGAGTTCGATCAAGACCACCTGGGCCTCACCACCAAGCCGAAACCAGTAAGTCTCACCGACCGTTCTTAAATGTCAGTGCATCTGTCAGTGTGTCTGTGTTTGTTAGCCATCTGGACTTATAGAGGGTGTTTTGAGAGGCTATCATCAGAGTGCAAAGGCCTCTGGTTAAGATATTTACTGGACAACACAATCCTTCCCAAGATTCCCCCCCCCAGTCTTCCTCCTGTTGCTGCGTTCCTCAGTTTAGTCCTTCGAGTCAGATGTTTACATCGCCCACGTGCAGCTTAAAGCGTAGCTGAAAAATGGGGGGCGGGTGGGTGCAGGGGGTTAGACGAGGTGAGAGGGAGAAAGTGAATCTGAGAGTTTTTGAAGCCACCGAGTTCGGTGTCAAACTCATATTACGCCCTGATTTCATTTCATTCATGTATGAATGGAATTTTAATAGCAAACACATACAACATCTAAAAGCCAGCAATTACCTGTGAGAGTGGTAGTTCACCTTCTCCTTGATGACCATGACATTTAAGATTTTAGAGGCTAGGCTAACAAGCTAATCTACATAATGCATTGTCTAGATTGAACTCTAGATTGTCATCACTTGACTTTTTCACTGGACACATCTTATTTAGTCCAATTAATGACAGCATTTTCACTCTTCCTGACATTAAAGGATGATGTATGACTAAATATGAGTACGAAACTAAACTCCTAGCATATTAATAGGACAACGTACATGATCAATCAAAACACTTTGCTTGTCAATGACCGCATGCTGCAGGAGTGTTGTATGGAACTGGATCATGTGACAACTGGGTATTTTTAAGTGACACACTGCAGGTGTTCTTCAGTGAAAGTGAATTAGCAGCTAATATAGCAGACTTTGATTTATTTACCTTCCATAGTAAGGTTTTCCAAATAGTTTTCACTTACCTAGTACGTCCATAGTTCTGCCTCCAGAGCAACTTTGCTTCTGAGAAACTTCTGAGAAGTAAAAGTCCAGTTCACAAAAGGTTAACACGAATCTGAGCTGACAAATGAACTAGCCTCAGTGGCAGGGTTTAGTGCTGTTTATAGCACTGCCGGACTTCAATACAGTGCATAGGACGCCAGCATTTCCAGGGAATCAGGGAACAGGAAACAGAATTATTGTAATTATATACGTAAAACAAAAACACCTGACACTAGAGCTAAAAGTAGCTAAAAGCTGATCGAGTAATCTCTGCTGCTTCAGGATTATCGTGTCCACACTGGTGTATTCACAGACTGTAAACATCCATTAGTGCTTGACTATCAATCCAAATATCACTGCTATATATGACTGTAATAAAGATATGACACTGGCTTTATAGACAGCACAGATCCATCTCTGCCTTCATCTGAGTGCTGTACACTGGGGGGGTTTAACTGTGCTCTCATGTAAAAATACCGTATTTAGAGTAAGACACATAACAGCCTTAGTGTATCCTGCATGTGAATATTCAGCAGAGGTAATGGACCACACAGATTACAGGGCTTTTACTGAAATGAATGAGAGAACTGAGCAGAATAAAGTCTGTGCCGTGATTACATCATTTTGTTTTCGTGTTACGTAGCCCACATAGTAGATAGTAATAGATGTCAGCACATTAAACAGTCAGTTATCTCTTGTTAGATGCTAAATATGTCAAAATTGTAGCATGTTGGTGGACACAGATAAATGGTAAATGGTATTTCTATTCTAGCAAAGACACATTTAATCGTGACTTTTTATTTACTTTATTTACCTCAAAATATTTGACTCCAAACGGTCTCACAAAAATTCAATTCACCTAATGACGCGTTTTCTGTAGAACTTTTTAATGGATGACAGCCCCCTTATGCATAAATGGCTAACTAAGGAAATTAATATAAAAGATAAATAACAGATAATAATAGAAGGTGTTACATTTTCTTTTTAGTAATGGGAGCTTTTACTCAACAGCAGTCAGGAGCATCATTAATTGAAAAGAAAGGCAGTTCTAATTCACTTCTTTCATTTAATTTTAGTTATATCATTTTGATTAAGGGCCACTTCCAGGTCACTGTAATTAGGAAGCATTCATATTAAATTAAAGCCACTTCATATCTACATTGAGTCTGACGGTGAGGACCAAGGCTGGAAAAGGTGGAATAGTTGGTTTAAAGCAGTTATTTTTAATAATGAATAATTAAATAGACTGATGGAAAGAAAATAACTCAATGTTTACTTTTTCCCCTCATAGAACCAAAAAGACTTCCTACAGTAGTAACCTATACCCAGCCCAAGGAGCACTTCATTAAGTAACTCCATTTTGTGGGGCTAGGTTTATGAAGTCAGGTTACATTACAGTATAAGCACAGCATGTCCATTGTGTGGTATTTCATTATACTCCAGCAAACATAGCCAACTGTTTGAAAATCCCAGCAATAAAGCATAAATGAAACCTCTGTCTTTAAGCTTACGTGAAGCAGGGTTAAACAGCAACTTGTGTTTAAATGAATAAATAAGAGTTTGAATTTACTTTTTTTTTTTTTATCATACTCAGGTACTAGGAATAACCAGCTCTACACTGTAAAACAAGAAATGCTATTTCTTCATTTTTGTATCTTCTAAATGGGTCACCGTTAGCTTAATTAGTTAGCAAGCTACAGCTTATAAAATCTTTGTTTTCATTCTTTGAGCAGAACGTCTTATATGTATGATTCATTGCCCTATCTATTCACTTGACTGTAATATAGCCTTACTTTGCCTGTGTTTTTAGTAATATATCAACAGTTCTGTTATCTTTTGTGGCGTTACAAGTGCGGTTCAACTTGAATGAGGATGAACATATGCCTGTATTTATGTGGACAAATGCCATATACCTTATCATTTTTTTCCCTATAAGATGCACAAAGCAACACAGATCAAATACTATGACTAAATAAAATGTTAAGACTTAATATGTAACCAGACAACATCACAGCAGAAGTGTGATAATAATAATGTGATAAATACTGGCCTGATTTCAGACCAACCCGTACATTAACATTGCTGTTACTGCCAGTGTTCAGTCACACTCCTCTGTTACCATATCTGCCAAGACCTGAACAGACTGCATCATCACTGGCCTTTTACTTATCTATAAATATCAGCCCCCCCTCTCCCCACTGCAACTCACCCCCGCCCCGTCATTTTCTGCTCACATTCTCACCTCTTTATTTTCCTCACCGCTTCTCCCCCCCTGTTCTTTCTCTCCCTGTCTGCTCTCTGGAAATCCCTTCCACCTCTCCTCTTTTGAATTCTCGGGCGGACGGGAGGGATGTCTCACAGCCTCAGATATGTAAATAACTGATGACTCATGGATCTGGGTTATGCACAGATACAGGCCCTGCTGACCTGGCAGAGCTCTGACAGGATTAATATATAGAGTGGGGAAGAGAGGAGGGGAAAGATTCTGCAACAATTCCCTTTTTTGTGCCGCACAGGACAACAAGTGGGGTCGTAAATTCCTAATTTCAGCGTAAAATAAACATAAATATATGTTTAGTTTTAATGGCCATCACACGAATCAATAAGTAGGAGGTGATCCTGCTGGTTCCTGCGGGATCCTGCGCAGAGGTACCGTGTGACTGATGCATTCCCAGTGGGTAGGAGTCCCACTGAGAGAGGGCAGGCTGTTAACACTACCAATATCAAATCGCAGCAAAGAACAGGACTGTCTGGGGATCACTCCCAGACTGTGTGACATGTTATTCATGGAGTAAACTGACTCTAACGCATAAGCTGCCCCAAAGGTCTCGTACATCTGCAAGGCTGTCTCTGAGCAGTGTTCGTAAAGAGACCAACGTTTCCCACTGCTATTACGCAGCAGTGTGTGTAAGAAATACCCATCATAACAGGTCAATATACGCATAATTAAAAGACAACAACAGATGCAGTATTTTTGGGTGGATTGTCAATGAAACTCAGTTGTAACTGAATGTTGTCTGAATAAAAACAAACTGTCATTTTGCCAAGGTGACAGGGAGACGAGCCCGGAAGGTGGAGGGAGGCATGTTCTTCGTAAGTATGTCCCATCATCATGCGAGGTCAAAGGTTGTGTCCATGGCTACTGAATGACCATCACCACTGCCCTTTCACCTTCTTTTAACCTTCCCCTGTGACGGCTGTCGATGTGCCTGCATGATCACGGACACACCCACTCTACTAACCAACAACCTGACCCGATGCATCGTCACGTGTGCTGTCATGTTGATTCAGGTTGCACTGGAAAGAGGCTGGACTGAGCTAATGAACCAACATGCTGTGTTCTAATCACTAGAAAGCCACAGAGAGCTACGGTTTGGGAACTCGTGCTCCTGTGAGCTTAGTTAGTTGTGTGAGGAAATGTGGCTGTTTGGACATATTTGTGGAGATAGAATGAGCTGTTTTTATCTACAGAAGCTGGGTCCTCTTCTCTGGAGTCCGTCGGGTTGAACTGGCAAGTTTCTACTGTAACCCAGAACGACCAATCCAAACACTGGCTCAGCCACCGTAGTTTCTCCTACATGTTTGGAAGGCTGAGCTGTATTCAAAGATGCCACTGAATCCTACACACTGGTCCTTTAAGGGCCATTGTTGCTAGGAGACATATGCCTACACTTATTTTTTCCTAACCCCCCAAATCTCAAAACAAAAACTCTCTGTCCTATATAGCAGTTTATTTCATTCACCTATTTAAAATGTGAAGCGCAGACTAACAATATGTGTTTGGCTGTCAGAGTCACTAATTTGTGGGAAATTATTAATTTCCCTGTTGACAGACGTTTCTTTCAAAATGTACACTTATGGGAAGAATTCTTTTTGGGCTTGTGTGATGGACACCATTGCTGTAATTACACAGTTTAGCCACTATGTCAAACTGGCGTCAAAGCCCAGTGCTTTTCCTGGGGGATTGAAATGACCAGACTGTCAGATTTTACAGCAGTGAGTAGTCCTGTCAGCACCCAGTGGGTTACGCTGTGTTTTAAATTATGTCACAGAGTAACATAGAAGTGTTCAAATCACAGTTGGGAATTGTGTGTGCTATAATGATTTTAGTGCCCAATCACACAGATATTTATATATATATATATTTCGGTACTAAATATTCATGGGGAAAACTAATGGGGGTTCCTATCAAGGCATAAATATAAATGAAACTGTAATGTCTTCTTCTGGAATGCCTAATTACAATTTTGACTAAGTACATGAGTCCAAACAAACAAAGGCAAAGTGCTACATTTAGCCTATTTTTAAGTATTATTTTTACCTTTACCTCACTCACACTTCTGAAGGCCTGTGTGTTCATTTAGCTTTGTCCTGACAAATAGCAACCTTCACATGCAGCCTGAGGATAAGCTCCCTCTCTCTCTCTGGTGACAAAACAAAGCTATCATCATGACATCAGTGTGTGGTACAAACTCTACCTTTACATACGTGTGTGTTTGCATACACTGCAGACATATGCAGGCAAACTTACAGGAAGGCCATGTGTTTCTTTGTGTCATATGGGAACATTCTTTACCTGAGTAAACGTGTAAACTCGTAAACTCAGAAGAAAGTAAAACAAAAGACACATATTGTATGTACAGTACACTGTGACATTTTTTCACACTTATAATTTCAAGGCAACAAATTTCTTTGATTTTAAATTTAAGTTTTAAACACATTTTTTTAAAGTTTTGCTGACCTCTAATCTTATGTTGAAATGTTTTTTTTTCTTCTTTAGAAAAACTTAAATATTTTAGTTTTAAAAACAGAAAATGTTGTATTTTGTTTGTTGTTTTGTGTTATTTTTTAAAAACAGTGAAGACGATTTGTCATTATTTGGGTGCTTGCAAATTAAATAGTTGCAACTGAAAATATTGAAAATAAATATTGAGTTTTCTCAACTTTTGTACACGTTTTTACAGTGCATGCATGCGTGTATTTATATGTGCTAAAAAAACATGGATTACAGAGAACTTTGCAGACAGGAGAAATTGCTAAAATTGGATTATGTTTGATCATATTGAACCTTTAATCTGACTTAGATGTGGGTCAGGATTAATCCTGACGAGGTGTGTGTTTGTGTGTGTGTTAACAGGTAAGTAGGTGACATGTCAGCAGGCGGTGCTGTAGTGCTGGAATGAGGCTAAATAGAAGGACAATGGCTCAGTGCCCCTGTCAGCCTGTGGCCTATTTACCAGCACACAGCATCGGGCCATGGACACAAACATGCATATGTCTTAATACTCCGAGCTCCCACTGCACACACACAGAATGAATGGAGACACATATTAACTCAGAAGCATGCATTATTTATTGCTGTATGTGATTTTGACTTTGTGTATTTTATTTTTACAGTGAAGTTTGAGTTTTTGTACTTACTTTTGTACCGAACTATTATGCAATACAATAGTCAACATTATCTCTATTAATAGATTTATTTTATTATTAGATTATTTCAGGCAACATGCATAATTTAGCGCTTCTTTTCAAGAATACAAACAAAAGACACTTGCACCATACGTGATATACCGCGCAGCATATTCAGCCACACATTCAGGCAAAGTTGTGTGCACTGGTACAACCCTCACACATGCAAGCACATTATTGTACTTTAAATTAGTTATCCCCCTCCGGCCCCCTCGCCCTTCTCTTCCCACCACCCAGACATCATCTGAGCTCAGCTGCCCGCTGTGGGCACTAATGCAGGCTGCCCCCGTCGGAATGCCGCCCTCCTCCTCCCCCTCCCCCTCCCCCACAAGCGCTAGCACTCGAGCATCAGCAGACATTAGGCAACATGAGGCCGCTGTGCCATCTAACACTGTTCATTAGAGTTCTTGAAATAAGAATCGCACATGTACAAACAAAATCGTTGCCCTTGGGAAAGGTGTGTGCGGGAAATGTTTTACACAATATAATAACGCAACTAAAGCCTCCAGAATGACCACCGAGTCAACGAACAGCCCCTCAGAGTTTTTAAAAACAGGAGCAAATGTGTGTGAGCTCAGGCAGTGTATTGCACCCTTCCTGCCACTGTGAATGAAGCGTTGGTAAATGAGTGGTCATGTGGCCACACGTACGTAGTCTTCTTATCCCGTGATTAGAGATGACACCATTCTGCTAATGACAGATTTCCATTCATACAGTTTGTAGCAGCTCTAAGATCATTAAGATGTTGTAATGGTATTATAACAGGCATGCCACGAGTGTTTCTGCATGTAGCCCAGCATGTAATGTGTGAAGAACTAAAAAAAGGAGCTGCCCCTGAGGTCCCTTGTAAAACAATAACAGCAGCACATTATATAAAAAGGAAAACATTCAAGGTTTATTAGCGAGGTTTAAGTCTGAGGGTCGGTTTTGCACCACAGGTAAAAATAGGACACTTTTCACCTCTACCCCCCTTGTGTTTTCCAGCCATCATCTCATTGGGTCATTACTGCTCACTCATCCTTCCTTTTTCTTCTGTTCCTCCTCATCACGCCATTCCTATCTCATCTTTCTTTTTCTGCAGCCAAAGCCAGAGAACGCGGTGACCGTCGCTGTGTCTTCTCGGGTCATGTTTCGGACCGAGCGGGAGCAGAAGGTGTTTGAGCAGAAAGGAGTGGAGGAGTATCTTCGATACCAAATCGAACACGAGAACGAACCCTTCGCCCCGGGACCCGCTTTCCCCTTCGTCAAGGTTAAAACCACATAATAATACACAGACATGACAAATACAGTGCAGACACTGAATATTTAATTGGCTGTCTTGAGCTGATTAGCGGATTGTTGTATCCTGACAGGCTCTGGAGACCGTCAACGCTCGTCTGCGGGAGCTGTACCCACAAAGTGAAGAGCTGTTTGACATTGTTTTGGTGACGTACAACCATGCACACGTAGGAATCCGGCTCATCAACACCATTAACCACCACAGTAAGTCTAACAGAGATCGAATTACAGAGTAGATGTGGCCCCAAGCTGCTTTATACCAGGTATCTCTTTCACAGTTAGACAGTAAAGGCAATCGCAGGTCATCAGGTTAAAGCCTGTGTGTACAATTTCAAAAGACACAATATGGCAGACAGACGAGTGGCTTTAAATAGATTCATACCATTGATATGTTAGTAAGATATCAGATTTCAAACACCCACGCAGACACAAATCAGTCTGACAAGATCATTATGTCACTGTCCATGCAGCCAAACTGAACATGACACAGGTCACTGACAGTATTCTAAACATCAGCAAAGATGGCAAATACTTAATTGTTTAACTATGTATGAATATTACTTCAAAAATTTCTTACTAGAATAACACATCAGTTACGAATAATTAATTAGCTCATTTGATAACTTTAGTGCTCACAGTAAAATGAACTGAATTGAATTGTGGAGAATCTAACTAATCCAATGATGCGTACTATGTCCATATTGATAAAAGTTTAAACATTTATATTTATGTAGTCGATCTAAGCAGCTTAGAGAGCGCTCAAGTGTGCGACCCGGTGGGTTTTACACATCCAAAGAATTTCTATAAAATCCAGACCAGCCGACAAATTTTTTAGTATGTCAAAACGGGAAACCCCCCTAGGCTAATAAAGGGGAAAAAAAGGGAAAAAGGGGCACCCCCTTTATAAGTAGGGAGTTTAACTTTTTCCACAAATTTAAAAAATTTTATTTTTTAATTTTTAAAAATTTTAATTTTTTTTAAAATAAAATTTTTTTTTACTTTTTTGTTTTTTTTTTTTTTTTTTTTTTTTTTTTTTTTTTTTTTTTTTTTTTTTTTTTTTTTCAAAATTTTTTTTTACCATTTAGGCCCCCTTTTAAAAAAAAAAAAAAATTTAAAACCAGGGGCCCCAAAAAACCCTTAAAAAAAAATATAAAAAAAAAAAAAAAAAAAAAAAAAAAAAAAAAAAATTTTAAAAAAAAAAAAAAATAAAAAACAAAAAAAAAAACTAAAAAAAAATTAAAAAAAAAAAAAAAAAAAAAAAAAAAAAAAAATTATTAATATTTTTTTTTTTTTTTTATCTTTTTTTAAAAAACCTGATTTTCTCAGTGGGAAAAACACAAAATATGATTATTTTCCAAAAATGAGGTGCAAAGTGGAATATTTGGGATGAGGGTATTAGAGCCTTGACTAGGTCAATAATTGATAACAACATTGATTTGGATGCATTATTATTTTTGGAGCAATGTTAGTTTATTCGCAAAAATTTACAAGTTTGAACCTGGGGACCCAAAATGGTCCCTCATAAAAGTGTCACAAAAATGTCATATATATATATATATTTTTTTTTCACTTTCACCGCATCAAATCTTTTCAACAACTTCAGACCTAACCAAAGATATAAAGTTTTTATAATTTTTTAAATATTTGTTATGTTTTTATGCCCTTTTTGTCATAAGATGTCATGTGTATTGTCTTTTGCCTGTGTTCACAATCAAGGCATGAACCACTGATTTGAGGTGCATTTTACATGCATGTGCTCTACATTTGGCGCACTTTTGTCCAAACCCTTCTACACTGTGGGCATAAGACACACTGCCTCTGCTTTCTGGAGGGCCTTGGCTGTGGCTCCTCCTCCTCCTCTTCCTCCTCCTGACCATGGACCTGGCTTCGGGCTTGTAGGACCAGGCTGGCTGTAAACGGTCCTCTGGGCAAATGGCAGGGACTCACCATGTGTGGGGGACCATAAGATTTCCCCATTTTTTTGGTCTCCATGGAGCAGTGTCATCTTCCATTGCCTTTAACTCTAATTCCTCCTCCTCCTCCTCCTCTTCCTCCACTGAGCTGCAGGGCACTGGCAGGAACCTGGCTGTAGTATAGCCTCCTGCAACCCTGCGTCCTCATATGGGGGATATGATATCATCAGACCTAAACCCTGTTTTCCCTGTATTTTGAAGGTAGTGACTTAGTTTTATTAGGTATTCGTGGGAAAAGCATTATAATATGTCAAGATTACAGTATATCAAAAATATGTGGTTATAATGGGAGTCAATGTGTCCAAGTCGGGCCCGAGGTGAAAGGTTGTAGGTATAGGTGCAAATCTCCTATCCTATACACCTTACGATAGAGGGGATCATGGAATTTTAAAAAATAATAATAAAAAACAAATCCTGGCCAAGTTTCATACAATTAGCCTTTAAACTGACTGATATATTGTGAATCAAACAAGTCAAAAAGGCAGAGTGTACACGTTTGGTCCCCCAAGGTGCCTCGAGGGTTAAAGCAGCTACAACGACAAAAAACTTCCATTTTGTGTTGATTTTGGTGACCCCTGTGTTTTTACTGCCTCTTTGACTGATTTTGAGTGAATCCGATGGCATTAAGAATAACTACATAGAAATAGCCAATCTTCTTGGTGATGGTCTTGTTTGTTTATGTAGGTCATTTCATAACCAGTGAAAAACTCCTCGTAGTATAAAGCGATACTAAATCAGGACAATAAGATGTTAAGACGCACATTGATGTAATGAGATAATCCAAGTTGGTCAGGATACTGAAGCTGACGCAAGCTCAGCCGAGAAACAAACAACCAAGTGTATGAACAGCTGACTGACAGGATCCTTCCCAGGGAAATCTCAGACCCTGTGATGACATCTTCCTCACAGACCACTTCCTGTTCAGCTCCTCGCATGTTTTCATTTCCTCAGAGCTTAAGGCTGGGGTGAGTTCAAGATGACCTCCTTTGGGACGTAAGAATAATCCGAGAGGCCCGAAACAAAAACAGGTCTGAGCGGAGCCACCAAAGCAACACGCCGCCCTCCAGATGCTTTCCTGTTAGATCTCTCTGGTGGCTCTCTGCGTGACGGGCACAACTCGTTCAAACAGTCCCCTGACCTCTGACCTTTCCTACAGATCTAAAGGAAAACACAGCTTCTCTGATGTTACAGCAGTAAGGGTTTGCTGAGCACCATCCCTGCACCGTCGGTCAGACACCTGGGTGACACGGTGATGAAAATGATTAAGAAAGAAAACATTTGTTTACTCCTTAGCTTCTCACAGTTGAAACTGAATCTGGCCACCATTTAGATACTCATTCATCTTTCATCAGCTGCTTACACTAGCTATTTCTTACAGCTGCACGATGAAGCCTAAAGCTTCTCACCTTGCACTGGCTGGGGACAACTATACTGTAACAGTAGTCCATGGCTCTGAATGACAAGGTGCCCGCCAGAAATTTCATGCATCTACTTTTATGCTTCACACGACCCCAAGGGCCGGGATGACTGACAGGCCTTGTAATGTGCTCTGTGCGCAGAAAATTAAGATATGATGTGATGACATTATCGTTCTCTGTGGAAATCAAAACTGCAGCCAGTCGAGACCTCATACACGTAGGCAATATGCATAATATCCTACACGGACACACACCTAGCTGCTATGAGAGTGCACACTGAAGCTGCTCGTTCTTTTTAATGTGACAGCAGTGTCTGTGCAGTCCTGCTGGTTTCCTGCTTTCCTATTACCATGTTTTAGATCTTCTGAACAAGCAAATAAATCATTCAAAGATAGATGATATGAAAACATTTTTGCAGGGAGGGAATAAGGATACAAAGACATCAATGGCGAGGACATTTTCCCTCGACTGACTCCCACGCTTCGGCAACCGTCTTAAAGCCAGGGGACGCTTGATATGATGACGTACCGTGTAGTGCGGGGGTCAAACTCACCAGGGCCCGACCACAAAGCTACATAAATAAATCATTTTAGAAAATCTGTGGAGGACAGTTGGTCCTTTGAATGATGGCAAGTTCACTCAGGGAGTTGAAAGAACTGTCTCTCTGTTTCTCTTAGTCTCCATCTGCCTGTTTATGAGTCATATTCTGACTATTACTTCTTTCAGAACTGCAGTGCACAACTTTGCACTGCAGCAAATCCAAATAACAACAAAATCCATCAGGATACAAGAGTTTCCTGCTGCTGAGTTTAGATTTTTCTGACCGGAGTTCTGTCTCACAGCTATTCAGGAGACAGTTTGTTATCCTCAAGATTGTTTTTAAATGTTCTCTGTTTGCTTTCTTTCTCATAAAATATTGAATAGCTTTCACCTCTTCCGTTTTTTTTTAATTGTTTTTTTTTTAATCAAACAATCTGAGAAGGGGGCTTTGGTTCATTTTGAGTGGGGAGCACAAGTTCACTGTTGTTTTTCTACTTACTTGGTGTCAAACATTCACTGTTCAGTGCATCTATGCCCCACAAGTCCTCAGACTTCTTGTTGATTGTGGCCTATGCTACTGTGTACTATGTTCTTTTGTTTCAATGAGCTGCTGGGGGGAAGCTAGCTGTTACCACCATGATGAAGTTAAAAATTGCTATGAAGGTAAATAAAGCATGGTGTAGATGTGTGTTAAGTTTGATGGATTAAGCATTGAAACTTACAGAGGTCTGCACCTTGCTCCAAGTTAGAAAAAGTTACCGAATGTCTTTGTCCAAAACCACAAATGTAAATGCTATATATAACAACCAGTAACAGGGTTCTCTGCGCGCCTTCCAGCAAAATGCAGCTGAATCAGGTGCTTCTCAGTTCAAGGACAACTCAGTTGCAGAAAACAAAGGAGAACTGGAGCACACTGATTAATTCACAGGGGCGTGGCAATTGGACACTGGTTTTTTAATACATTTGAAATCCAGTTCAACCAATTATCCAATGACACCTGTACACCTGCTCTTGGTTTTTCAAGTCATTTAGACTTACTGAAGACACAGCAATGTTGAAATCTTCTAATCAGTGTGCTCCAGTCCCCCTTTGTTCTCTCTATATAATATCCATCTGTAAAAAAAATGAATGAATGAATATGTCTCAGATGAGATCTGTGATTGGGACATTGCTTCACAAAGACAGTTTCCTACCACTTTCATGCCTGACTTGTGTTTATTTGTGGAAACAGGAGCCCCTTTGTTGTTGTCCACATTAGCATTCAAAAAGACCTCTGCCACACAGCAGAACAAAAATAGCAAAATCTCTTTGTCTTCATCCTCTTTCAGTTGTGACACTGCAAAGCTTCGTGTGAAATATTGTTTACTGAGTGTAAAGGAAGGAAGGCAAAGAAAGATGAAAGAAAGAAGAAGACGCACCTTCAGGGTTAAAGGGACACTCCAGTGATTTTACGTAAAAAGAATTGGTGGGTTCCATTTACCTCAGAAATCTGAAGTTGGAGTAAAGTACAAGTCGGAAAACAAGGTTAGCCATTAGCCAATGTTAGCAATACCAGTTGATAGTAACACATTACACTGTATTTTGCTCATACAAACATGACCGCAGACAGAAGTTGGACAGTACTGATTTAATGAGACACAAAAGACAGAATATTACTACAGTTTTCAATTAGTTGACATACGGAGCAGCCATCTTGGATTAACAAGTTGTTACAGTTCTTCCAACTTTCCTAGTTTGAAATCCAGCTTCAGAGGGCGTTACAGTTTAAATGGGATGTACCATTTGAAAGTATACATTTACAAAAGAAAATGTGGTACAAACTGGGGTTGTGGATTTTGAAAAAAAAAAAAAGGCATTTACCAGGCAGAGAGGGTTTATTAAACTACTGGTTGCATTATGGGAAATGTTGGATGCGGCTGATGTGGTGTGTGATGCATACAAAGGAATAAAAGTCTTCTGCTGCACCAATCTTTTTATTGAATATATCTCTCACAAGTCCTTCATCTTTATGGAAGTGCAATAATAAATTGCTGGAGTGCCCCTTTAATGTGAACAAAGACTAGTGCAGCTTTCATATAATGCCATAACCTTGCAGTCTCTCTTTTCATAATACGCTCACTAATCTCCCACCCACACTAACCTTCACTTTTACTATATCTCCATCTGTCTGAGCTGTCACCCACCTATTCCTGTTCCATTATAACCTTCAACGCTTCTCAAAGCCGTTCTATCACATCTCCGTCCCAACATAGTCTATCACTTTACTTCTGTGCCCTTTCTTACAGTCCCCCATCTTCCCTCTGTTCCATCATAAATATCAGCTAATTTTACCTGAACAGCTTTGTAATCGTGGATCTAATATCAGTCTACTCTCGTTCCTCCAAATACCATCTCTCTGCTGCTCTTTGGATCAGCCCACAGCAGTGAATTAGGAGCCTCCCTCGGCCAAAATGCAAACAGATACTTTCCCACCAGTCCTAGTTTCTTCTGCCTCTGATCTTCACAGCCATGCCCCTCCTACAGCCCCCTCTACCCCTTTTACTTAACCCCCTCTTTGGACCCTCTCCCACACTCTTGTAAGTTTATCCTCTCACCCTGTCCTTACTAACCCCAATCTCCCCTCCACTTCACCCCCTGAAATTACTTATCATGAACTCAATACAAAGCCACAGCTCCCAGCTGAAATAAGGACTTTTCTGTTTTGTTTCTGGCTCTCGCGGTCTGTAAAGATACAAATAAATACACGTAACAATATTGTAATGCATCTGTAATGCTGCTAATGTACCAATGATAAAATGGCCGATGTACTGAAACCGAAAACCATGTTGCTGTTTGTTCCTCTTGTCCCCAGATTTGTTCATTGAGAGGTTTTGTATGACGGGGGGAAGCAGTCCTATTGGCTACCTGAAGGCCTGGCACACCAACCTCTACCTGTCTGCTGACGCTGACAAGGTCAGGGAGGCTCTGGCTGAAGGTGAGCGCACGCACGCACAGCCAACAAAAGTAAATAAAAAATAATAAATTAAGTCAAAAAAACAAATTGAGATGTTAACATTTGTAAAACATTGAACCAGTTTAGACTATCTCAAAACTAGAATAAGGGCTAATCCAGGTTTTTGAAACCAGATTGGCAAATATGAACTGCAAACATAACCTGGCCATAACCAAAACACAAGTGTGAATCTAAACCAACTGTGTGTTTGCACGCTTTAGTCCTTTAGTAGAGATGGAATGTCTTTCCTTCCAGCTACCTATTTAGTTTTATTCATTTCATTACTGTTTGAAAATCTATTTGCAAAGACTTGGCTTGCTTCAAACATGCCTATCTAGCTATTACAGTGATAATAACACTGTAATAAGTGCAGTTGTAAGGGCACAATGATTGAAAAGTCTGAGAAAGTGCTTGGCTTTTTTTTTTTTCAAATAAATGTAATTTCAGATAAATAAAATGTCAGTGCTGCCATTAAACTTCAATTTAAATGGAAAATATGTATGATGCTGTTAAATTCTTACACACACACACACACACACACACACACACACACACACACACACACACACACACACACACACACACTGCGAGTGCCAGTATATGTTTTCTGTCCCGTTTGCATATTGAGTAGCAGTGACTGACGTCTTCCCCGGTGCTGCAGTGACATTACCATAAACCAGCACATTGATGCCAATTTCCTGTCTTTGTATTTTCTTGATGGATTCTTGCGTGTCAAGGAATATCAAGACATACACTTAAATGGAACACTGGCATTGCTCTGACTGTGGTTCTGAGTATATATCAATATTTGTGAGGAAATACAAAATGTTAATATGCTCTGCTGACAGGGAGTCTGAGAGAGAATATATTGATGTGGAATTTGTGGGACTTGAGGTGACAGCCGCTTCGGAAGGTTTAAATTTGTTCAGAGCAGCACATTTCATGCTGCATTATTATTGCTGTCAAAAAGGAAGAGCACATTATGAAACTGAGCAGGCCAAGTGGATACAGATAGAAACCTAGAAGAACTGCAAAGAGGAATGAAGGAAACTAATTACAAATAAAAATGTGTATTAGCTTAGTTGACACAGAATGCTTTAGTTTTTAAAAATCTTGATTTTCTAGCTATCGCAACCAGAGAACAACATATTGAGTCATCTACAGTCTCTGTGTGTGTAGAGGGTCAGAGGGAAATGAACTGGAGTGCTCATTGATCACAGCGTGGCCACGTACCTCTCAAGGTGACTTCAGGGACATTCTTCATGTGACTTACACGCTTAATGTCAGTAATGCAGTGACTCTGTGGGAAGTGCACTCCCACCAACAACCCCCTACCCCACCCAAACACACACACACACACACACACACACACACACACACACACACACACACACACACACACACACACACACACATAAAGATACAAGCAAAGGAAATGTCCTTGACATTTTACTTGAAAGGTTTTAATTAACTGTGTAGCCATTTGTTAATACTTCCTGTGAGCTGAAGGCCGTTTCTTTACTGGACCTACAGCTTGAAGCAAACGTTCCTGATTTTATCTATTTACAGCAAGGACAGAAAACAATGGAGTGAAGTGACCTTAGCAAGTAATGTTTCTCTTTAACTGATTCTGATCATATGAAGTATACCTCTAATATTAAGTACCTAAAGTGAGGTGTATAGTGAAGTGATGTATTAAAGCTGGTTTAATAAGATGTTTCTGTTCAGTTGCTTTTCATCCACCCAGCATGTGATGGTCGAGGTATTTAAGTATCTGTTGGATTTAGTTTAAAGAAAAGTTGTTTGTGTGTTGATTGAAGCTGGGTTTACAGCAAATGTGAATTAGTTTGCAATGTCTCAGTTCAATTTTGAAATTCAAGGAGCGCAGACCAAAATGCCTCTGGATAGACCTACAGCCCATCAGAGCAACAAAACCTGTGATGTTAGTTGGTAAATTAAACTCATCAAATCCTCTCAGAAGTACGGCAAACACATCTTTCTTATCTGCAAAAGCTTTAAATGCAGTTTTTTGTTTTTTGTTTGGACAAAAGCTACCATCCAGTTCATTTAATACTGTCAGAACAACAAAAACAGTTGGTCAGTGGAATCCCTCAACGGCCAATAAGGTCAAGCTCATCCGTATAGTCACCGTAAGAAACCACCCACAACCCCCACATTTTAAATTAATGGTTGTGACTGGGACTACCCGATCCAGGACTGGTGGCAATCTGTCTAAATGATGGCCAGACATATCTGCCATAGCAAATAAGTATAGGTTTTACCTTAGGAAGAAAAAAGGTTTTCTTCTCTTGATTCTGATTCTAACAAGCTACAGATGTCAGCGTATCTATAGGGTTGATTTTAAAAAAAGTGAGGTAATGTAAAGTGATACATGAAATCTGGCTTTACCTTAGAAAGCAATGTTTCTACTCACTTTATTCTTATCCAACTAGCATGTCATTGTCTGCAGTCATCAAAGTGCCTGCAGTTTAAAGTATCAGTTTAATTTAAAATGCAGTAAAGCGAAGTAGAGTTTTTACAGTCACCACCCTTGAACTGCCTTTTGAACCCATTTGAAGTGCATATTGTTCAACCTAGTCTCTGTCTGTTTGCGTTCAGGCATCGCCGCAGCCACCATGTTCATGCCAGAGAAGCTGACAGAGGTGTCAGAGTCCCAGCTAAGGGTGGCATTTGATGGCGACGCCGTCCTCTTCTCTGATGAATCGGAGCGCATCTTCAAGGCCCACGGGCTGGACAAGTTCTTCGAACATGAGAGGGACAATGAGGACACACTATTGGATCATGTAAGTAGTTCGAACTCCACACTTTACATTGCTATTCCCTTGCACCTGTAAATGATTATGCAGATGTTTATGATACAAATAAATGTCATTAACTGATTATACCATTAATAAATTATGCAAAATGATACGATAAATGGTTTCAAATGGCATTGGGATTCAGACAGTCAGCTGGTGCGCCGTTCTATCAGACAGCAATTTATGAATTTAGCATTAAGCTGTGCAGGCTAACATTAAAACATGGAAATACAGACACTGAAACACCAGTTCTGCTTCAAACTCAGTCTTCCTCTCTGGTAGGGTCCCTTAAAGGGCTTCCTGGAGGCACTGGGGAAGCTCCAGAAGAAGTTTTACGCTAAAGGCCAGCGCCTGGACTGTCCCATCCGAACATACTTGGTCACAGCTCGTAGCGCAGCCAGCTCTGGGATCCGGGCGCTGAAGACACTCAGGGCCTGGGGCTTGGAGATTGATGAGGCCTTGTTCCTCGCAGGAGCACCTAAGGGCCCCATGCTGGAGAAGATCAGGCCTCACATCTACTTTGATGATCAGATGTTTCACGTGGAGGGAGCGGCCGAGATGGGCACCGTCGCTGCCCATGTCCCCTACGGCATTGCACAGAAACATAACCCCAAACAGAAATCCAGTGTGGGGAAGTAGCCAGCAGGCCTTTTAAGAGGCCATAGGCACAGCTATCCAAGAGAGGAAGGATCGGATGGAGAAACATCTCAGAGAACAGCAAAGTGAAGTTGTGAGGTTTCAGAGAACTTGTACTGAATTGTATGTGGAAATGTATCATTTCCATACTGTCGCAATTGTAAGATTGTTTTATCACATGTGAACTGTCTCAGCTTACTATGTTAGGAGTTAGATTCAGGTCTGGGTAGAGGTCAAGTAGAGGTCTGGAACCTGAGATGACCTGGATGCCAAGTGTCCCTCAGCTTTACATTTCAAAGCCTCAATCTACTCAACACTTAAGTGTTTCGCCAAGTCTTGCTTTAAACAGGAATTTCGAAGGTGCTTGATTGCCATGGTGACCTGCCATTTCTCTCACTACTACTTGTCTTCATAAAGAAGACATCTCTTCAGTAAATGTGGGAGGCATCACTGATATTTATAGGCCTACTGTTTAAGTAAAGCACAGAGACTACACTGTATGTCACCAGTAAATGAGCCATTTAAGCGCAATGCAGCGGTATTATAAGGTTAAAGATTATAGTGATGTACTGTAGCACAAGAGTCATGATTTAAAGTTTATGTTTCAATCATTTTACACAGTTTGATTTCACAGGAATGTAAAATTGTTTGTTTGCAACCATACAAAATGTGTTGTATATTACTGAATATATTATCTGGTGTTAGTCCAAAACAAATTTAGAAAGCCATAAGTTTCAGTTGGTGCCTTAGTTTCAATGGAGACACTATTTTTAGCCAGTTTAGCAGTGTGGTAAGTCCAGTATTTTGGTCCAGGGTGAAATATCTCCACAACTATTGAATGGATTACCATAACATGCAGAAATAGAAACCTAGTGAATTTGGTGGTGATCCCCTGACTTTTTATGTTGCCTCGCGGGTTAAAATTTGAACTTAAAGTTTCAGTTCATAACAGAATGTTATTTGTCTATAAAGCCTAAGTACACCTGACGCTGACGACGCACAGGGAAGACTGATTAAAGTTGAGTGAATTCTGACAATTCTGTTGTGAATTCTGACAATTCTGTTGTGAAATCTTCCTAAAATAGCTGCTTGTTGTGTGGTATATAGCCACATGGCTTTCTATAAAAAAAACAGGTGAAAATTTGTGAAACAGGTGGAAAGTTTTTTTGCCACATTTTTATAAAATTCTGTTATAGTAATATTGTCCAACATACACAATTTGCCCTTGTGCTTCGATAAATTATTCATTACTCATCTAAAAGAAAACAGGAATGCTTTTAGTGCTATTTAAAACATGGGGCAGGGGTGCACTTTGGTCTTTTGTGGGCAATATTAGTATTACAACAACAACAAATTATCTTAGATGAGAAAAGAATAGACAATTATCCTGGCAAAACTTTGTTTGTCATTTGAAAAAATAAAAATGAAGGTACTTACTAGATTATCTAAGCCTTTTTTAACCCCAAAAATGGATCACCAGAATTTGTTTTTATCACTTGCCTCTCGGAGCTTCTGTACTTGGCTCACTCAGGCTGAATTTTTGCTCCACAATGGTAATAAGAAGAAAAGCTTTATCTCAATGTTGAATCCATCCATGAATCTTGCTTTCCAGTGTTTATAATGAGTATTACAGCCTTAATGGCCTTCTATGGCTATTGTTGTTTAAAAGCAAACCTGGTTGCTGACATGAGGGCATTACAGCCTCTTCACAGGGTGCTGTGGTTTCTTACCAACTGAAGTACCACAGTAACAGAGGTTTAGCAAGCAGCTAGGTTGATTTTACTGCCCTCTCCTGTGCATCACAGTTAGTACAAAGTCACACTCTGCTAAGGTGGCATTGATAGTATGGCACTGTAAAGTTTCACCAGTTCAACTACATCTGAAAATCAATACCTTGTTACAGTTACAGTATGACTTATGTTTGATTGAAAAACATAGAATTTGTCTTTCATCGACAAAATGGCTGCAATGGCCTTTTGAAAATGTCAATCCACTACACATCCCTCGCCACTGCTTACAAGTCCTTGGAAATCTTTCACCTAGTGTACATTTAGTGATGCTTCATTACACCTCACCAGCCTTCTGAGGGCCTTGAAGCTCAGGAAAGTGACAAGCAATCCACCAGTTTAATTTCACAGCCAAAAAACACATAATTAAACAGATGTGGCTTTTGGCAGACGTTGGCCCTAAAATGATGGCTGAGTCATCAGATTGTAAAGTTTCAGCAGGATCAGTCAGAGCAGTTTGGACTTTGGGCTGACATTTAGGTATAGATAAACACAGATGAAGCAACGTTTGAACATTTAACAACCAGTTTATGATGACGTTTTTGACACGGATGAAAGAAATGGCTTTGCAATAAGAAAATGTACATGAACAAAAAATAAAGTTGTAAATTATAGTACTTGCTTTTCTCCTTAATGACAATAGTCTGAGATTGAATGAGTTCCATGATGAAACATGCAGGATGAACACATCATTCCTGCACAGGGAGTCACTGATGTGCACTCCTTCACTCCACCATAGTGTGGCAGCACTGGAATGATAAATGACCTGCTGAAGCAACTGGTCTTTATTCACCACATGCTGTTTTTATCTAGGATGAAAGCGGATCACTTGGCTTGATTCATTTAAAAAAAAAAAAACAGCACATTAAAGTGATCTAAAAGGATGTAAAATGTCATATTTACATATTTTCTTCTTACATACCTTTCTCATTTATTCTTATTTCCTCTTTTTGTCATGTCCTTCCTTATCCCCCCCCCCGTTAACACTCATTTATCAAACTTCACATTGAGCTGAATCATATTGCTACCCACACTTCCCCTCCCCTATTCACATATCTGTGATAAATGTGTTAATATTCCCAATCGTTCCCAGCTGAATTGGATCTTCCCAGCAGAACCTGGATAATAAAAGCCAGAATGCGCCAACATCCAGTGCTGGTCTATCTGGAGCCATATTGCTAACAACACCACAGGGACTGTCCCTGCTGGGAAACAGTGATGGATTGACATTCATGTGGATTTTATAAGCTCCAAGCTCCAAGCTCCAAAACAGTGGGCTGATGTAGCTGGCAACACACAGTAGAGGGCAGGGGCAGATAGATAAGATATGGCCAGCTGGTGAACTCTGTAAAGCCTATGCACAGTTCATAATGACACACATGTGCAGGCTTGCCAGCTGTATCCATAAACAGACAATAACCATCAACGTGAATGGGGAATATTGAAAGAGGATGGCTCTGTGCTTCACTATGCCAGATTGAAACGGTGCCTGGGGATAGAAATGACCATAACAACCCACCATCCTGCATCTTACAGATACCGCAGTTAGTAGATAAATGCTGGACGGTGCTCAAGTAAAGAGGAGATAAAAGAAAGAAGAAGAAATTGTGGATCAAGGTGATTCTTTTCTTTGGGGTATATTTTCATTTCAGGTGCTATAACCCGTGCTCTTCGAGGCAGAGATGGTAAGATTGGTCGAACACTCCTGTGATGGGAGGATAATCATGCAAGTGCAAAAGTGCAGGCAAAAGGAGTGAAGAGTAGAGTTATTTCATAGATTGTGGATACGTTCCGCTGACTGCAATTGATGACCCAATGTGGGACATTATGTAACAGATCATAAGCTCAAATATAAGCAGTCTTACTGCCAGATGTGACCTACGGTAGTAGGCTGAGCTGGGGGTGGTGGGGGTTGCAGTCGGCCTTTAGCAGTGCTGGATAATGACACAATAAAGAAAGACAGTGAGAGAAAAAAAGATCAGAATAGAGAGAGTGAGGGAAAGACAGAGGCAGAGGAGAGCAGCTCTTGCCCCAAAGACACAGATAACAAGAGCGTTGTTTTCCTTCTGCTCAGTTACAAAGCCGAGTGGCACCCGTGGAGGGGGAAGATGGGTGACTCACTCCGTCTTGGCGGAGTCGCTGGTCAGACTCAGAGGGATTCTGCATTGGACCAGTCCACAAAATGTTTTCAATCCGTTCCAACACGCTTTCTGTCTGCTGTGCACTCAGGCCCTGTTGCTTTTTAAGTTCTTAAAATAGATGCTTTTTCTGAAAGTGCTGCAAGGTTTTTAATGAGGAATTGAGCTGAAAACACTCTGGCAATCATCTTCGCTCCATACAGTGTCACTTTATAAAAATGAAAAAGGAAGTCAGTGGAGTTAAACACCTGACTCGTGATTGTTATGCTAATTTGGTTACATTTTCTGTCAGATTTGTAATGTGCAGTATCCCTGGTGAAATCTATAATGCTGTTTCGTGTGTGTGTGTGTGTGTGTGTGTGTGTGGGGGGGTCTTAGTAAGTATTCATTAACTCAGCACAGGTTGCGTTTCAGAGATCCTCAAATTCCCAGGATGAGAAGCAGCTTGTAGCAGCAATGTAATAAGTGTGTGTGTGTGTGAAGGAGGTTGCCAGTCAAGCAGCGTACAGTCAAGATGTAATGAGTAAAAATACCAGTTTCACCACACAAACTGTTGAGTGTGTCTGTCTCTGTGTGTGTGTGTGTGTGTGTGTGTGTGTGTGTGTGTGTGTGCAGGTTTTGTGCCGGAGCCTGACAGCAAAATAACTGTTCCTGTCACAAGTGAGAAAGCAGCCGACACTGTAACCCGTATCAAGGAACACATAACAGCTGCTGTTGATTCATGAAAACCTTCTAATAACCGTATGTTTTCAAGCATTTTCTTGTATATTTTAAACCATAGCCATAGTCGGTCCACCACTTTGGTCCAGACTGAAATATCTCTTGAATGTACTGCCATGAAATTCTGTGACATTCATGGTACACAGAGGATGAATGTTAATGAGTTCAGTGATCCTCTGACTCTTCCCGCCTCCATGAGGTTGAAATTTGTGATTTTTAGTAAAATGTCTTGACAATTATTGGATGGATTCCCATAAAATTAGGTACAAACATCCATATACAATAACAATTACCTGTAACTCCCTAACTTTTCTTTGCCATCGTCAATTTGTCCAATACTTTGGCTCACAGGTATCTGGTTTATGACCAGTTAGCAAATGTCAGCATGCTAACATGTTAAATTAAGATGGTAAACATGGCAAACATTATACTTACTTTGCATCAGCATGTCAGCATTATTATTGTTATGGAAGCTGTTCTTCCTTCCAAATGTATTGCAAATTTTAACCAAATTTCTAGTAAATTGGCAAAAGAAAATGTACTACTAGTGAACATATTTTTAAACCCCCAAACTGGGATCCCCAAACTGAGACCCTACATTTTTGCGTTGAGTACATGTATGCACTTAGGAAAACACCGTAGGCGTTTTCATCAGAATTTGTATGACTCATATCAGGTTGAATTCAGATGTGTGGTGCATTGTTTATGTTTTAATTCTGGGTTAGGTAATAATGGAAGAGTGGAAGAGAATGTGATAAACTTCTATGTAATCACTGAAAACAAGTATAATATTAGAATGATTATTTTATTTGTGGTGAAAACCAGAACCATTTGGTAGTGAAATTTTAAAACTGGGAAATGTTTGTGTTTTACAGGTCTGGTCACTGTAGATTATTAGGAGTCGGTTAGAGATAAGCAGTAGGAAGCATTCATTGTCATTAAACTGGAATGATTTTCATAGCTAGAGTTTAGAGGCTATAAGGAATTAGTAATGTGGTGATTCATTAACAAACCCAATAAACAGTTGTTTCTCAAACATTGAGCCACTTTAAATGTGACACAAATATTCACAAATATGATCTTCGATGGCTTTTTTGTTCTGAGAACAAAATGTGAAACCATTTTACAGTATTAGCTGCAGGAATTTGAATCCGATCCTCAATGAGAGAACACCTGGTTCAACAGGATAATCATTGTAGACAGTGCTTCTAGACAAAAAACAACTAGCATTTCATCACTGTGAACCACTGTACCAAACACCCATCTCCAAATTTAATACTTACACGGCAGTAACCTCTGGCCGGAAATGTGTTTTGACCTTTTCACATTCAGCTCTGTCAGGATTGGAACTGCTTCTGATATGATTGCCGCTGCCATGCCCTCGGCTTCGTACAGTAACCTTAAAATCTACTACACGTTTTTTTGAAATAACTTTGGTCGGTGCAGCAGTATGTCTCTGAGTTGTGTTCCTGATAGATGGTTCAACAGTGGAGGATAAACCTGCAGTACAGGAGTATCTTCTCACTGTGACTATAATATAAATAGCAATAGGAAAAATACTAACCTGACTCTCAGTGTTATCAGTGGAGGGGTGTAAGTTAACCAACAGAACAATCTTCTTAAAACGCTCACTCTTTCATGCTTATGTCTTTTAAGTGTTTCAAAGTTTCTTCTAGAGTGATTCATCCCTCCATGTTGGTATCCATAGCAACAGATTAAGGCTATCCCTTGAGAGGGATGAAAGAAGAGAAAGTTTTAGTGTGTGCGTGTGTGTGTGTGTGTGTGTGTGTGTGTGTGTCGTGACAAAACATCGGTATTTGACGACCTGGGAATGAGAACGGGCTGGTGTAAGGTAGGTAAGTAATCCATGGATTGGCCTGTACAAAATCTATTTTGTCACCAGCGTACTTCGACTGCGTTTCCATGGATACCTTATCCAGGATTTTGAAAGGTGAAGAGAAAGAAAGAGGGGGAAACGATGAATGAATGTACACATGGAGGGAAAGACAAAAAAAAAAAAAGATAAAGGTGGCAAAGTAAGAGAAGAACAAGAAAGGGTGTGAGAAATAGCAATGGAATTTGGATAAGAAGGCAAACAGGAAGTAAAACGTGCAAATGAAGAATATGCACGTATTTAATAGTGCATGTGCGTTTCATAAAATGACATATTTAAATTCATAGAGACCGTGCATGGGAACACAAAGGGTTAAGGCATTTGCTGGATTGCCTGCAAGCACCTGAGGCAATTTAAACATACAACACAGACAACAGAAGTGTCACATGAAGTACGCACACACATATCCAATAGGAAACACTTCCCTGACAGCGTGGTGAGGCATGTTGCTAGGCACTGACAGATCTTCAGAGATAGAGGGGATAGAAGTGTGGGCAAAAAGAGGGGCTGAAGGGTTGAAGACAGTTGGAGGGAGAGATAGTGAGTTTTACGTCACAGGGTTTCATCTCACGGATTGATTTTTCCTCAGCACCCAGCACCCATGTGGGCAGAGCTTAGCCAAACCTGATTGACCAAATCTAGCTCCACTAGATCAGCTCTGTGGGGAGAACTGGACTAGATAAGATGGCCAGATCCAATTTGAATATTTCCTGAAAGTTAATTTAAGAGACCCGTGTGTAGGATTTGGTGGCATTTAGCAGTGTAGTTGCAGATTGCCACCCTTCATCCTCCCAGCCACGTAACACACAAAAACATGAACTGCCCTATCAAGAGTAAGTGTTTGGTTTGTCCATTCTACTAC